TTTTCTTTCGGTTACTCTTCTGGCAGCCTGGTTGGTAGAGTACTTTGCCAAACACTTCAGTCCTGTTCAGTTAATCCGCTTTTCTAACTATAATCCTTTACATAGTACTATCAAAGATCTGTGCTACCTTTCTACTCAGGTTTTGCCAAGCAGGCATCCAATCTTCCCGGTTCTTTGAATTTACTATGATCTGAGAACTTTTTTGTGTAATTTATACATTGCACAAATGCTTATGATTTCCTAATCTTGTTGGTACTACCAAAGTTACAGAGATCCTGTTCTAACTGATCAACAAAAAATAGTAGCATCATACAGATAGAATTTTCGAAATTCATCGCTAGTGGGTTTTGAACTTCCTATCTATCCAATATACCATTTAGGGATATGACAACTTAATCACTTCACTAAGTTGCTATACTTTAAAAATTATTTATCTTTTTAAAATCATTATATCTAAAATAGATTTATTTTTTTTTTCAAAAAAAACTTATCTAAATTTTATTTTAAAAAATATATACAGTCAACTCTTTTTATAGTTATCTTTATAGTTACAAAATTAATATAATTACAAATTTATTTTTATCAATTATTTATAACTACAGTCGTCCCCCTCTATAGTCATATCTTCAGAATACAAAAAATGGTGATTATATAGAGGTGTGACTAGTATAAAGATACCCTCTATATAGTCACAATTATATTTTTTTAAAAAAAATGACTATATAGAGGTTTTTTTTAGCAAAATATAAAGGATTTATAACAAAATCCTGATATCCAAAATCCCAGCAATACATAATACTGATATCCAAAATCCTGACCAAAACAGAATCCTTACAAGTCAAAATCCTGACTAAGACAGAATCCTGATAAGTCAAAATTCTGACTAAGACAGAATCCTGACAAGTCAAGATTCTGATATTCAAAATCCCAAATAGTAAAATCCCAAAAGTTAAGATCTCAACTAAGACAGGATCCTGATTCGATTAAGATTGTAATTGATCAAGTTGATATAAATAACTTAAGGCCTGGTAGCTAATATAAAGTTAGTATGCATATTAATATGATCTTTAGAATAAATATATATATAATATAAAAATAGCTTTTAGACTATACAAAGATTATTTTTTCATTTTGTATTACACAGCATTCAAAATTTCGATTGGGCAGTTGGATTTTTTTTTGTTAATTCAAATAAGTTTTTAATTTCTAAGGCTTTCTTAAAAAATAATTTGCTTTTTCAGATGGTTTCAAGGTCTTTAATTGACTTTCGAATTAGCTAAATAATATGATATTATAAAACTATGTCGAGTTTAAACTTCTTGGTAACTAACCAGATATAATAATGACTAGTAACTGTAATAGTTATGTACCAATCCATTATTTATTTCAAAATTTGAAAATTAGTATGTATTAATAATAGACTTTTAAAACCTGTATTTTTTTCTAAAATAATATAAAATTTCAATTGGGAATACTAATAAAATGATTTATCTTTAAGTCAGAAATTGCTATCAATATAAATTAGAAAAAATATTCCTAGAATAGACCTAATATTTATATATTTATCGTAAACCTAGTTGTATATAATTTTAAAAAAAATTACTTGTACATAGTGTTTACACTAAATTTGTAAACCTTTAGGTCGATAATCTTAGTTTAAACCAAATTGAAGAATAATTTAGTCATTCTTAATATGAAAAAACTTGTATATTATTTTCCTGGATCTTCTTTGCGATCACTGTAGTATTAGGCATTATTGTGTATTATTGATAACCTAGTACAATCTTCACATAAACGTGACTACAAAATTTTGCCATCAGATTTTAATATGAACTTTATATTGGTTGAAATTTGAACTTATTTGTTTAAAGTTAGGAGTTAGTGTTATTCATAATAAAAGGATACAAAAGATATATGTAATTAGTTATCACATTGGCAGTAAAATAATGCCTTTATATTGTTAATCATTTTAAACAAACAAAATAATATTTCTTATAAGAGTATATTTATTTACCATACCCTGCGATGTTACTAATTTACTGTCTCTCACATGATTGACCAATCAAATTTTAAGATCAGGTATAACATAGTACAATTAGAAAATTCAAAACAAACGTTCACTTTGTCAAAAATTGTTTATAACACAAAACTTCATATATAAAACCACTCTTCGTGTTCTAACAAAAAAAAAAATTTCTAATTTTTATTATAAAACTTCTCTTCAAGTCTATAACCTACCTTTACTTCACCCTAATCTTAACTAATGAAAAAACTGTTTGTTTTAATTTCACGTTACATCTGATTTTATGATCTGCAAGGATGTGACAACATCGCAGGATGTAGTATATAAATTGTCTCTTCTTATAATATTAACACTAAAATTACAACATTTATATAAAATCTGATAGCAAAAATTTGGTGTAGTCATGTTTATATGAAGATTGTACTAGGCTATCAATAATACACAATAATGCCTAATATTTCAACTTGGTTTAAACTAATACAATAACAAGATTATTAAAATATTATTACACAATGAATAATCATTCATAATGAAGTTTCAGGATAGTATTAAAGATTTACAAATTTGGCATGAACACTATATACAAGTAATTTTTTTAAAATTATCTGCAACTAGGTCTATGATGAATATATAATTCTTGGATCTATTCTAGGAATTCTTTTTTAATTTCATATTGATAGCAATTTCTGACATAAAGATAAATTTATTTTATTAGTATTTCTAATTGAAATTTTTTATTATTTCAGGAAGAAATGCAGGTTTTAAAAGTTCATCATTAATACATACTAGTTTTCAAATTTTAAAATGAATAATAGATTAGTATATAGCTATCACAGTTGCAAGCCATTTTTGTACCTAGTAAGTTACTGAGAAGTTTAAATTTAACTGGGTTTCATAATACCTTATAATTTAGCTGATTCAAATATTAATTAAAAAACTTGAACCCATCAGAAAAAGAAAAATACTTTTTCAAGAAAGCCTTAGAAATCAAAAATTTATTTAAATTAATAAAAAAAATTGACCTCCCGATCAAAATTTTGAATACTATGCAATGTAAAATGAAAATAACCTTTATGTGACCTAAAAGCTATTTTTATATCACATATATACTTATTTAAAGATCATTAGAATGCCAACATATATAATACCTTTATATTAGCCACTGAGTCTTAAGTAACTTGGTCAATTATAATCTTAATCATTGGATATTCAAGATTTTACTATTCAGGATCTTGACCATTTCAGAATTTTAAACTGTTAGAATTCTGTTTTCATCAGAATCTTGATCTGCAAGATTTTTGATAGTTGGGATTTGACTATTCGAGATTTTGAATATCAGGAACTTGACTTGTTCAAGATTATGTATTGCTAGGATTTTAGATGTTGGGATTTTGTAGTAAATTTGCTTTTGTGATATAATCTGATTTATGCACAGATTACACTATCACAAATCGGTAGTATCCTTAGAGATGTAACAAAAATCATGTGATTTTTTAAGGGGGAGGGGTAAAAAAAGTTAAAATTATATATAAAAACCCGATTTTTTTTTATATTAAGAGGGGAGGAGGGTAATTCTTTGATAACAAAAAATCAGGTGATAAATGACACTGCCCTTACTTAAGATAGTGTAAACCCATGATTTTGATGTGACTTTAGTGAGGGTAGTTTTATATATATATTATATAGATGGTAAATAAAAAATTGTGATAGTGACTATAAAGCAATTGTGCTTATATAAAGATATAAATAATATAAAAATAGTTGGTAAAAAAATAAATATGATTATATTGATTTTGTGACTATAGAGAAGGTGATTATAGAGGGGGACAACTGTATTCTCAAAATAAAAAAATTCATTAAATTTGGTTAGGTAGATGTTAAGATATCTTTAATAAATTTTTATTTTTAAAATTTTGACTGTTTATCAAATAGAAGCTGTACTAAAAATTGTTTTAAAATTTTAATCAAAGATATTTTAATACCTATCTAACCAAATTTGATGAATATTTTTGTTTGAATTTAATAGTCTTCTACAATCAAAATAAAAAAAATTTATCAAATTTGATTAGGTGGATGTTGAGATATCTTTGATCAAAGTTTTTGTAAAATTTTAAATATCTATCAAATAGAAGTTATATTAAAAATTGTTTTAAATTTTGATCAAAAGTATTTTGATATCTATCTAACTAAATTTGATGAATTTTTTTTATTTTGATTGCAAAAAACTATAGAATGTAAACAAAAAAAAATTTATTAAATTTAGTTAGATAGGTGTCAAGAAATCTTTGATCAAAGTTTCAAAATAATTTTTGATACAGATTCTATTTAATAAATATTTAAAATTTTACACAAACTTTGATCAAAGATATTTTGACATCTACCTAACCAAATTTGATAATTTTTTTTTTATTTTGATTGTAAAAAACTATAGAATTCAAACAAAAAAATTCATTGAATTTGATTAGATGGGTATTGAGATATCTTTGATTAAAGTTTTAAAAAATTGTAAATAATTTAAAATAATCTATATTAATAGGGGGAGTAATATTATCAAAACAAATGTCAAAATATTAATTCCCTAAATAAATTTTAATTAAATTAGAGTATTTATCAGATTTTTGTATATAAAAATTTTTTTTAAGTAGAGTTTTTAAACTTTTTAATAAATATACTACTAGTAGTACAAAAGCCTATCTCCTATCCATTAATTTAAGCTTTTAAATATATTCTATATGTTAAAAGCATATAATAATAACGAATGGAATGTTTATATATTAATAAAATCATCTGATCTGGTAATAATAATAATTTCGAATATATTGAATTTAAAGATGGTATATTGAATGTATATAAAGATTAACCTAATATAATATTAATAAGAAGTTGTATAAATAAATGCACATCACGTGATATGGTGAGAGATATAATTGTTCCATTTGTAATTCAATAATAAAGTTCAATTCTCTATATGTCTCCTTTAATCGTTTTTCTTCATCAAAGTTTGTTTGGTAACCAATTTATAATACAATCCTTTTTGATTTATTAAATCAAAATGTTTACCAGATTCAACAATTTTACCGTTTTTGCAAACCAATATTAAATCAGCATTTTGAATCGTTGATAATCGATGGGCTATTGTAAGCGTTGTACGGCCTAAATTCAAAAAAAAAATCAGTAAACCCATATTTATTGATTTTATTAATTTTATTAATATAAATTCGAAGTTGATAATATAAACCTTTACTGGCATTATTCAGTGCAATTTGTACAACTTTTTCAGATTCAGAGTCTAGTGCTGAAGTTGCTTCATCAAGTAATAAAATTTTCGGTGAACGAATTAATGCTCGTGCTATTGCAATTCTCTAAAAAAAAAAAATAATAAAAAATAAAAAAAATTTAATTTATCCATTTTGTCGTTATCTGGCATTTTATGATCATGTGAATTTTTTTGCCATGATATTTTTGACGCCCCTAGCTCTTCCACAAAAAATTGTTCACCCTTGTAATTTTGACCAATCAAATTTCAGGATGAGGTGTAACGTAAAAATCCACTTTTTTACAAAAAAACAATAACTCTAAATTTTAATTAGGAAACAATGTTCCTCGTGATGTTTTACTAATAGGCGCTATATTGTTCTAATCCTAACCCTAAATATAACACGGTTTTCTTGGTCTTCATTTTACACGTAAATTAGAAAACAAAACACGTTTGACATCTGATCTTAAATTTTGAATCGGTCAAAATGACCAATTTTTTGTGGGAACGCTGCCAGCAGGTTTGTGTAACGTAACACGATCAAACAAACCTTTTGCTTATTTCTCAAACATCTGTATAAGAAACCTCTAACAAAAAGTTTTCCTTGAGCGATTTTACTATATAATCACCTAACCTACGGCACACATTCTTACATGCTATTTTTTCACGAAATTACATAATCCGTTGTGCAAATATCACGGGCATACGATAAATAACGGAAAATTTTTTAATTTCATAGCGGCACATGGAGTAACATTAACTCCAATATGTGCAGCTAGGGATGGGTTCGGTCGGTTATGGCCAGTTATCAGTTGTAATCAATTTACTAAATTTTGAAATGATTTTTTTTTTTAAAGCTATTAATTAAAGTTGTTTAGAACTATATTCTATTCATACTATCATATAAGCAAAAAGCAAGATACCCAAAATTTAATTTGTCATCAGTGATAGCCGGTTAAACGGTCAGTTACTGACATGTACTAATATTGAAAATTTTGATAGAAGGTATCCTGCCTTTTGTTTATAAGATAGCATTGACAAAATTCAACTTTAATTAATAGTTTAAAAAGAATAAATCATTTCAAGATTTAGAAAATTGATTAAAATTGATCGTAAACAATTAGAACCGAATCCATCCTTATGTGCAACGTCTCAAAGAGCTTAAAGTTATTAACCTGTTTTTGACCACCACTAAGCTGTGTTCCATTTTCGCCTACACGAGTATTATACCCATCCGGTAAAGCTGTAATAAAATTATGGATATTTGCTTCTTTCGCAGCCTCTTCGATTTCTTCTTTAGTACAACCTTCTTTTCCATATGCCTTTTAGAATAGAAAACAATTTCAGACAATGAATTATCAATGAATGATTAAAAAGATTCTAAATAAATTAAGAACCAAAATAACATACAATATTCTCTGCAATTGTCAAATCAAATAACACAGGTTCTTGCCCAACCAAAGCCATATTCGCTCTTAAATACTCTAAATTCCATTGCTTTACATTAACACCCTCAACTTCAATTTCTCCAGAATTCACGTCATAAAATCTTAGCAACAACGAAACAACAGTTGATTTCCCTGAACCCGATGATCCAACAAGCGCAATGGTCTTTCCAGAATATATCGACAAGTCCAAACCTCGAAGTATTGGTACATTCGGACGAGCAGGATAATTGAAATGAACAGAGTGGAATGAAGAATCTCCTAATACTGGTGTGGGACGGTCCTTGCCTTCGTTATCTGTAGAATCTATAAGAGATTTTCTATCTAAAATTTCAAAGATTGAAAGGGCCGCAACTTTTGCTTTTGCGAAATCTGGTGCGAATGTACTAAATCATAAAAAATAAGTAATTATATTATTAACCTGAAATGATAATATAAAATTTTAAGTTAAAATTTAATTTACTTTATGTGTCCAAGAGTCATAGCAGTAATCACAACAGCAAACATAGTTCGAAGCATTTGTTGTAAATCATATTCACCAGACTTTATTAATTTTGCACCAAACCAAAATGCTAGAGACAAAAAAAAGTACAACATCCCTTGAGCTGTACCAAATCCAAATGATGACAGTAAACTTCCTTTAATTGCGATTTTATGTGGCTCTCTTATTGCATTTTGATATCTTGTTTTGAAGGTTTCTTCTCTAGTTAATGCCGCAATCGTTCGCATATTTGAAACACTTTGTTGAACTATTTGACCAGTGCCTTCATATGCTGCGCGTGTCTGATAAATAAATATAAATTGTAAACTACAAGGCAATTATAATTGATGAAAATATATATATATATATAATCACATTATTAATTACCTTTGAACCAGAACCAGTCATCGCACTCATTTCTAAAAAGCCAGAAATTACAACAGTTGGTGAAGCAGCAAGGATGATTAATGTCAATTTCCAACCGAAACCAAAGGCAAGTCCCTACATTAAATAAATTTTTCTTTAGTCACTAATCCTTTTTCTAATAATGGAAAACAGTAATCACAATGCATACAAATCCAACTAGTATATTAAAACAATTATGTAAAACAGTTCCCATTAGACCACCACTTAACCCTTTAACTCTCGTTGCGTCTATTGCCAATTTTGAAGTTAACACACCAGTTCCATTTTTTTCATCATCAAAGTATGTAATTTCTTGTTTCAATAATGCTTCAAAAGTTAATCTTCTAAGACGTTTTGTGAGATGTTCACCAGATAACGTGAACATTGATAATTGAGCAAAATTTGCAAATGCACTGATAACAGCCAACATTGCGAAACATGAAGCCCAGAAATTTGCCGATCGTCTAAGTTCATCGGGTCTATTGATAAAAATTATATAATAAATTGTTATAAATGATTATCGTTATGAATAAATAATCATAGTAAATTAATATATATCGATATAGGATCTTACTGATCAGTTCGTGAAAAAACATCTACAATTGAAGCAAGCACCAAGCTGAATAAAGGCATAACAGAACCATTAACTTTTTTTTTTAATAAAGTTAATAATATAATTTATTAATTCATTGTGAGACCCGATAATTAAAATACGCAACATCCAATTAATTAATAATATAAACATACTTCCAGCACCAATACAACCAATAAACATTAATCCATACTCAGGTTTACACATTTGAAATATTCTTTCTAATGGTGTCTTTTCTAATAATTTTTTCTTCATTTCTTCATTTATAATTTTATCATCAGTCTTTTGGGATTTAATAATTGATTCTCCGTTAGAAGTTTTTTGTAAATGTAATTTATGGTTCTTTTCATCTATTAAAACAATAGTATCATCATTAGAACTAGGAGTTGATTCAAGTTCCTCTTCTTCATCTTGATCAATTTTTGTTTCGGTTTTTTTAGTTTCTAATTCTTGAGCTTGAACAAGGCCAAAATAAACTCCTTTTTTATCAATTAATTCATCATGACGCCCAATTTCTACAATTTCACCTTTTTTCATAACAACTATTTTATCAGCATGTTTAATAGTTGACAATCGATGTGCTATTATTATACTATTATTATAATGGACATTATTAAGTAAAACAAAAATATATCAAATACGCAACACAAAGAAAAATAAAAGAATACCTTGTTCTATTCATAGCAGCATTATCTAATGCCTCTTGTACTAGTCGTTCAGATTCAGTATCAAGAGCAGAAGTAGCCTCATCTAATAATATTATTCGCGGGTTTTTGATCAACGCTCTAGCAATAGCAATTCGTTGTTTTTGACCACCTAAAAGATAATATATTTAGTGATAGGTAATATGTAAATTTAAAAAAAAAAAAATTCAAATAATCAATAATCAAGTTTTACCAGAAAGTAAACTTCCTTTTTCTCCTACAATTGTATCATATTTTTTAGGTAATTCATCTATAAAATCATGAGCATTTGATTTTTTACAAGATTCTATAATATCATCCAAACTTGGTTCTGATTCCATTGTATCACCACCCCATCCAACATTTGTCTTAATAGTTTCAGCAAATAACACAGGTTCTTGACCAACTAAACCAATTTGTCTTCTCAATGACTTAATATTAATGTTTTTAATATCTACACCATCAAGTAATATAGAACCACTAATAGGATCATAAAATCTTTCTAATAAACTAATAATTGTAGATTTTCCACTTCCGGAACTACCAACTAATGCAACAGTTTGACCAGGTTCGATAATTAAATTAAAGTTTTTTAAAATTTGGACATCCGGACGAGTTGGATAATGAAAAGTGACATTTCTAAATTCTATACGACCTTGAAAAGAAGATTTTTGAATAATTTGACCAGTAGAAGTTGAATCAGTATTAGGAATGCGGTCGATTACTTCAAATAGCTTAGTAGCGGCACCCATGGCATTTGATATAGCAGCGAAGTGAGGGGCAGCGTTACCAACGGAGAAAACTACATTAAAAACAATAAATAATTATAATTATAATTATAATATTAATAAGTTAAAAATTTCCAAGAATATGATTCAAAGAAATAATGTAAAGATAAAACAGAATATTAAAAAATAGATCAACTTACTACCAAAAAGAACGGCAAAGAAAACATTTACAACATCAGAGCTAATCATTTCTTTATTTACAATTAAAGTACTACCATACCAGAAAGCCAAACTGTAAAAACCAAAAAAAAACAAACATAAGAGCCCCGAGACCTAAACCACTAACAAATGCTTGTTTCCTTCCTATAATATATGCGCGTTCTAATTGCGCAGTATAACGTTCAAGTTCAAGTTTTTGCCCACCAAATGCTACTACAGTTCTTATACCGGATAGTACTTGTTCTGCTACACTTCCAGCAGCTGCATACACGTCTGTTTCAAAATCAAAAGAATAATTCAATACGAGTGATATTAATGATATTAATGCTATTAAACTTAAATAATAAATATTACGAACTTTGTCCTGTTATATCAAAAAATATTGTTAGTAATGTAAAATTAAAAAGAACATTTCAAACAAAAAATGATAAAAAAATAACAACCATTAGCAGTGCCTTGACTAAGGGCTTTTGCCATAAATCCAGCAACCGTAGCCAATATAGGAAACACGCAACAAAGAATAAGAGTTAACTTCCAACCTAAAAAATTGTAAAAAAAAACAAAAAAAAAAAGTTTAATGATTTGTATGCATGTGGCGCAGAACACACTTGATAATAAAGAAAATTGAAATATGGTATAAGGATTTAAGACAAACCTTTTATAAACCCTATAATAAAACCACCAAAAAACGTAGCAGCATATTGTAAAATTTGACCAACTTTTTCAGAGATACCTTCTTGATAAAGAGCAATATCCCCAGATATGCGAGTAGTGACGTCACCCGTCGACACCGTATCAAAGAACGTGATATCTTGACGAAGGATAGCAGAATAATAGATTAATCTAAGTCTCTTTTAAAACAAAAGTGGAATAATTTTAAATTAGAACAAGCGAAGTGATAAAATAAAGTGAATTGAGAAAAGTAAATGGCAAAATGAAGTGAATGGTGAAATGAAATGAATGACAAAATGAACGATAAAATAAATAATAAAGTGAATGATTTAATACTGACATTTGCTTGACGTTCACCAGCAATCATCCATAAAGACATTTGTAAATATCCAACAGTAAAAACGAGAACACCCAAGATAATAAAATGAATAGCATTATCTCTAACGCTATCGTCTAAACTTTGTTGTGCTTCATCTCTACAAGCTGGAAAACATGTATGTTTTTGTGATTCATAGACATAAAAGCTTTTTATGAAATCAGCAAATAATATTGTCATGGCAGGAATAGAAGAACCTAAAGCCTATATAATAAAAAGGCAAGATTAAAAAAGAAAGGTCTAATACTATAATATAATGCTAATAAAGATAGAAAGAAATTGAAAAATTACCAAGGATGAAATAGAACCAATTATAATAAAAATTATATCAAGAGGAGTGGCAAATCTAAATAATTTAAAGAATGAAACTGTAGCGGCATTTTCTTTTTGTTTCTTATGATTTAGTTTTTTTGCTTTTTTTAAATCATCGCTCGTCATTGTAGATTTTTCAGAATTGTCAGTTTTTTGTGGTGGTAAAGCATCTACCACTGAAAAGTCAATTTCTTCTTTGACATCAGTTGTATTATCTGACATTGATCGTGGTTCAGGAGTGAGATCTTGAGAAATTGAAGACATATTTGATTTATCTCATTAAAAATTTTAAATATTATTATTATTATTGTTATTATTTTTGTGTATTTATTACGTATATTAATATTTAAAGAAGTTATATGATATTAATGATTATTATCATTATTATTATTATTATGATAGAAGAATTCTTTTTATTTTATTTTTTATTTTTTTTTAAGAGTAAGGCAAGAATTCTTTTTATATTTTTGAAAAAATATAATGATCACCTGTGATGATCTATTGTTGCTAAATTTATGATTAAGGTGCAATTTAAAACTAAGAAAGGAATTAGGTATAACAGTATAATAGACCAAATTTTAGACTACACAAGGTTTTCAGGGGATCTGAACATTTACTTAATAGTCAATTTATTTAAATATAGCAATACGCGTGATAATCACCTATGGTGTAATAGATTTTCTCTTTTTTTTAGATCAACGATATTTTCGACTAATTTGTTTTTAAAAAATTTTTGAATTTGAGCTGTATTAAATACTTATTTACACTAGTGATACGGGCCAATGAAAAATCATGGATCGGCCAATTCTAAAAAAGTTTGGGCCGGTCGACCGGGCGAACTTTTTTAATAGACATACAAAAAGTCCTTACCAAATTCAAGTGATGCACATTAATATTAATTGTCTATGAATCCAATCCGATTGGTCAATCGTGATATGTATCAACATTTTATACACTGTATTATATGAGTTTCGCTAAAAGAAACCCCGAAAATTTAAATATAAGTTATATTTAAATTTTCAGGTTTTCTTTTAGCGACACTCATGTAAATCAAAACTATGTGTGGTATCATATAAAAATTAAATATTGAATAATTGTAAAGTTGGGAGTGCGCTGTCAATTATGTAAATCTATTCTTAAACACGTTTATAACAAAGTTACGTTAAAAAAGAGTAGGTTCTACTATTAAAATACTAACATCCAGGGTAGTTATTACAATAATTTAAAAGTTATGGATGGTAAAAAAAACATTTTTTCACCTGTTTAAAACATGTGATAATTAAAGTCCGAATATTGATTTAAATAATACACACCTGTTTTTTAATTTATCTTCACCTGTTTTTAATTACGTAATAAAAAACATTTGCCATCCCTATTTAAAGTTTATATTGATATTTTTTACGATTTAAAAAAAAAAAAAACTATTTTAACGGCTAAGAAAAATTTTAACTTTATATTTAATAAAGTTAAAATTAAACCATTATAGAGAATCTTTAAATATTATTTGTTGAGTTGCTTGCGAAATAGATAAAGAAGTAAATGGGATCGAGATCGAGTAAATGAATTGGCCAGGTCTTCATTTTAATCATAATTTGTTCATGTCCATTGTCGATTTTGTTATTACTGTATCACAATTGTTGTCACCGTTGCTTTTCGGGTTCATTATTATTTTTCCGACGGTTTTTCAAATTTTTCACGAATTTTGAATCGATCTCTATAAATTGTAAAATCACCTCGATAAGGTTCTAAAATTTTAATTAGCTCAGCGCTGCCATCTATCTCTAATTTTCTAAGCCTCTATTAAATCTTTTATAAACTTTAAATTATTTAAAAGATTTTTAAGAACATTTAATATTCTTATTTGGGGACAGTTTTCAAGATTAATTCCTTTGTCCGCAATCTCAAATAGTACACTCTTGCAGTTGAGGCAAAATTTTAAGTTATTTTATCTATATTTATAATTTATTACTCGCAGAACGTTTCGTTTTTTTTCTTAGTAAAGCTATTTGAATTTTTAATATAAACATAAATACATTTTAGCAAACTAAAACCTATTGTATAGCTACTGTATTTATTTATGTTTACGATACA